TAATTATTGGACATATTTATTCTAAAAGGAACTATGTGCATAGGATTTGCGTGCAAATTAGTTTCTTTCAGCATAAATACGTCCTAGTCTAGCTTCTCTCAGAAAAAAATATTTTATCGGGAGAAACGAGGCAAAGTTTGAATCCTCATACGGCGTCAAAACCCAACATGGGCTTTTGTCACAGGTATCGAAATACCAGTAACTTGTCCTTTTCCTAAACTCTTAATTTTTCAATGCATATTCAGTTCAATCATTAGGGATGGCTGGATTTCATACATTTTCCTCTTTTTCAGTCCTATCTCCCAGCCATCACCATTAATCGCCCATTATTTTTATTACTGAACTTGCAGCTGATAGCTCCACTGATTATAGCCAGCCAATAGCGTGTAGACTTGTTGTCTCACCACCTGTGACGTCAGCAAGTCTATAAAAGCTTGAGCTGCCCATTTCTCATGGTCCTTTACCATCTTGACCCGTAGTACTGCGTATGCCATTCTCTCTCCGTAGGCATTATTATTCTAAGTGTGACTATTCAAACTCTGTAAACTTTTTCCAAATTCTTAATACAACTTTTCGGTCCTCCAAATATCTTTCGTTCAATTTTTGCTCTCCCACAATCTTTGCTCTCCCACAACTCCGTTAAATCTTCCGCCACGTCAAGGGTTCTTAGATGTTTCAGTCCGTCTAAAACCGCAACTTAACCCTTCGACGCGACATGGTGTTAAAACCATGTCTAATTTATTACAGCTTTATAAGCCCCATTGTTTTATGCCGCGAATATTTTAACGGGACTTCGAACAATCACGCCAAACACTGTGCAGTCGGCGTCAATCTCACATCAGCGCCCGTAAGCTTGCAGGAATACTTCACGCATTGCGCCAAAAAGTGCGGTCAGTGTCAAGCGCATAATAGCGCCTACAAGCCTGCATGAATACTTCTCGCATTGCACGTTTGGTGCAGTTATCCCGAAAAACTCTTGCATTGCGTTTGGCAATGCAAGAGTTTTTCGCGATAACTATTCGACCACATGTGTAGGCATATTGGCGCTTGCCGGATTGAAGGCGAGTCTCACGGTGGAGATGAAAATTGTCTCGAAAATACTAAAAAACTCGTTCTGCGAGATGGTTTATGTCTCCCCCTAACTTTATCAGCTTATGAGTAATGCTTTCAAAGCTGAAACTCTTTGAAACTATGCAGACCGCTTCTCTAATACGAATGTATTAGAGCTTTCCAGCTTGTTTCTTAACTTAAATACACGCTGCACATGAAGTCCCATGCATAGTGTGCTGCTCATTCAATTTGAAATGAATTCTGTTTACCTTTTATAAAATTCTTTCTCCTAAAATAAATGACCCAAAACGTACAATAATAAAATTTATTATCTATATGTACAGTAAAAAATTACATCCTTCTTGCAAGCCACACTGTTTTTACATCACATCTAAACAAAACACAATAAATCAACTATAATGTAGAATATACATATAAGGTTTTTAAGGTTTTTATTTGGATCCAGTATGAATACTATAGCGGAACTACGTTTCGGTTCGATTAAAAGTTACTCTTTCCTGAGTTCGTCAATCTGTGAATCACACACTATCAATTTCTATTTAAAAATGTCTGTTTTCGAAAATTTGTCAACTTAAATGAGCCCTTTGATATGTACATATTTTTTAATGGTCTTGATATTATAGTCTGAAATTTCCTCTGATATCTTTGTAATGTTCTTCAACTGTTGATTCTTGGTTAGCAATAATATTCTGCATCATAATGTAGCCTCCAAAACAAACAAAAAAAACTTAGTTTAGTCCTTTCATCTCAATATAGTTTTTTCGTGAGCTGGGATCTTGAATGGGCCTGTTTCATGATTATTTTATTGCTTTTATCGGAAGAACTAAAGATCCTAATGTTCCAGGAATTTTCCCAGAGTCTTTTGACCACTGAAAAATCAACTTAAACGCGCCCCAAAATTCGGATTTTCTAAACTGTCACTATTACGCGGGAACGGCTCCGGTACTTTCGTGACGTCACAGAACATGAAAAACCTGGTCTCTTCATCGTTTTTAATGTATCTCTCCACAAGGAATTGGCAGCCGCTTGATGAAGAGACCAGGTTTGTCATATACTGTGGCGTCACGAAGGTACCGAATCCGTTTCCGGGTAACAGTAGCCGTTTTGACTTAGGAAACTACAGGAGGTGTGGGGTCTACAAAGACATTAAAAAGAAAAGACTGTCAAAGTTTGTTAATCACAAGGCAGTTCTGCCCTCAAATCCTAATCATCAATCTAATAATCTCCCAAACAGCTACGCTAATGCCCTCAGAGGCAACACACAGCCCAATCCAAATAATAATAGTAACGACGCCAATATATTTTATCAGTCATTTGATAAACGTCTAAACACTCTTGAGCGTATAGTTACAGCACAAGCTGAACAAATTTCATCTCTACTATCCACCATCAGTACTTTAGTACAGTCCATAAACAAAACTAGGGGGCTACGCCCCCTGGCCGCTACGCGGCCCAACCCCCTGAAGGCGCTCCGCGCCATCAATGGGCCGCTTCGCGGCCCTATTTTTACCCTCCTATCAGTGTTAGTTTTATTTTTCCCCTAAAAAATTACGATATGAGGTATACTTCAATTTTAAACTTTACTTAAAATTACTTTAAAATTAAAAGGACGCGTTTTGGAATGACTGCTTGATGAAATATTGCAGTAAAACAATGAACAATGATAAAGTCAAGTAATAATTTAGATTACATGAGTCGGGAATCGAACCCACACCGAGTTTACAGAGGACGCATTCGACGTCTTAGACGACTCAGCCACCTCTCAACATGAGGTCGCAGGTGCGAATTTTGTGTAGATAAGTGTAGAGCTGATGCGCAGGCTACACAGCTGCGCAACCTCCTCGACCACTGCGCATCCTCCCGCGCATAGCGGTAGCAGTACCGGAGCATTCTGTAAACTCACTCACTTTTATAACGTGATTTTAAAAAAACCTGGGTCCTTTTTCCAAAATTTGATCAGAGAAATTCCCTCATCTAGGGCCTATTACCTGTCGATTTACGCAAAAATCATGGAAATCGGCCCGGTAGAACGCTCAAACGAACTATGACAAAAAGTATAAATTTACATTGTTTAAATGGGAGAATTCGCAACTTTACCACGTAATATAAAAACACCTGGGTCATATTTTGAAAATCTAAAAAGAGTTGGCTTATCTAGAGACAATTGCCCGTCGATAGCCGCAAAAATCATGAAAATCGGCCCGGTAGAACGCTGGAACTAAGCGTCACCAGTTTCGCAAAATTAGGAGGTCTCGGAGCTTATAGTATTGATGGAAGTATAGTAAATTAATTTATAGTTTTTGAACTTAGATAAGTTACAAATTATTCTGTCGTTTGTATTTTCATTTTTATTGTATTTTAGAAACAAAGTGTATATTTTCATTGTGAAAGCTCACTTGATACTAAAAAAAAAAAAAAAAAAAAAAAAAAAAAAAAAAAAAAAAAAAAAAAAAAAAANAAAAAAAAAAAAAAAAAAAAAAAGAAAAAGTAGCCGTTTTGAATCAGTCGGTGCCTAAAACAGTTCTTCTTTTTAAGTTCGGGAGGTGATTTCTCGATGTGTTAATAACCCCATCGTCCTATTCGTGAAATTTATCAGTTCGCAAATCCCCGCACCCTGTAACAGGCCCATTTACCGATGCTAACGCGCGTAAACGCTAATTCTTAATGATAAGTCGATTTTGGAATTTTCTAACATGTGTCACTTAGTCTAAGTGAAATTATGACGAAGATGCATACTTTGCGTCACCTACCATCAGTGGCGTAGATGGGGGGAGGGGGGCTCCGAGGGTCTGGAACATCCCCCCCCCCTAGCCTCGTTAATGGTACCTTTTTTGACTTTTGGAGGGCAGACATGACATATTATTAGGGACGTACACAAAATATTGTAAATGGACATGCACACCCCCTCTTGAAGAATTCCTTGCAGGAATTCCGAGGAAGGAACTATAGTGTACAGTGCCACCACGGTGGATGACGTCATCGCCGTGGCTTTCAATGAGTGACACCTCTGTAAATATTGGACATACAGAACGTTGGCGTTTGAACAGTTCTTCTTATTTTTTGCTAATCTAAGTTAAAAAGAGCGTCTACAGGTCTGATAGGGAAAACAAGGTCTGGTATACGAGAAACACCGATTGACGCATTTAAGCACCGTTTAGCGCGAATACCACAAGGTTGTGCTTAAAATTTGAACCAGTGAAATAGGGGTATGAAGCTGTGACGTAGCCATACCAGATCAGTATGTAGAGGATGATCAAAAAGTCCCGCACCTCTATTACTATGACGCTAGGGTTCTTGCCCCGTTTGAAAGGGATCTGATTAGAGTTTTAAGGGTTCTTGAAAGTCGTTTTCTTTGACGCCGAATCAGAAAATTTCAAGTTTTAATCTACATTTGCTCAAAAGTTACAGGAGTAATGGAGAGGTTGTATGTGTGAGGAATTTGCGATTTGACTGTTGATTCTTATGTAAAAGTTCGCGAGAAACACGATGGTGCTACTAGTTTTCTCTGAAATCAACTCTCAAGCTCAAAAAAAGCTCTCAAGTTGAGACCAAAATGGAGGGGATATCCCACGCTATCCTGAGAGTCCACCTCTACATCAAGACAAACTCTCCATGCAAAGGTAGGGAGCAAATACATTGACAGGGCTACCATTTTATTTGAGGACTCTAAAACTGAAAACACGGCAACCCTGCTAATGTATTTGCTCCCTATCTTTGCATGGAGAGTTTGTCTTGATGTAGAGGGGTACTCTCAGGATAGAGCGCGGGATATCCCCTCCATTTTGGCCTCAACTTGAGAGCTTTTTTTGAGCTTGGGAGTTGATTTTAGAGAAAACCAGTGCATCGTGTTTCTCGCGAACTTTTACATAAGAATCAACAGTCAAATCGCAAATTCCTCACACATGCATTATCTCCATTTCAAGTTTTTATCTACATCTGCTCAAAAGTTACAGGAGTAATTCCTGATACGGCGTCGTGCGGGACTTTTAGATCACCCTGTATGAATAACTTCGGCATCAGAGGCATTCGTCCGACTTCTCCCGTTGACCCGTTCCATTTTGCGCCGCTTCGTTTCTGCCGTTGGGTTTTGAGGCTTGGCCGGGTTTCATATTTGGGTGTAGCTGTTGCACGGGGGGACAGGGTCGGACCAGGTGCCGTTGGGCAGGCACTCGGGCCAGATGGCCATCGGCGACACGTACTCCGGGGAGCACTGCACAGTGAGTCGGTCCCCGGCGTCATACCAGAACTTGAGCGGCACGATCCGACCGTTCCGGGGCTCACCCGGGTATTCGCATTGAGCTTTGCCTGAAATGAAAAGGAAACTGTCATTAAAAAGTAGGGTTAAACAAAATGACCGTGATACCACCAATCACGAGTGATTGCTCACAACCGTTGCAGATATCTTTTTCCCACCGTGAACCCTCCCTCTTGCACTAAGGTCCATACGAGCGCGGTTCGAGGAACTTATTCGACGAACTGCTCAGTTCCCGGAACTTATTCCTTGAAATGAGGCATGCTGTCAACACGAGTTCGCCCGAACTGAAACCGGAACTTCAATAAAACTATACAATTATCGCAAAATAATAGATTATTACGGCCGCCAAAGTAACAAAAATAAATGTCAAGACATGTAAAGGACGTGAAAAACAAAAACAAACAAATTCACATCAAAAGAAACATATATAGAAGCTCGGAGTACGGGGGAAGTTCCGGGTTTTGGAGGAATAAGTTTTTAGCTCAGCTAAAACTTTGTTCCGGGAACAAGTTCCTCGGAATAAGTTCCGCGAACCGCGCTCGTATGGACAAGGCCTTACAGACATCTCATTAGAGTACCTTATTAGGGAGATTATGGACAACTCGATTTATGTAGCTCTTAGGGCCCGAGAGGGTGACAACGTGAAAAACGAATATCACTCGAAAAGTGCTGCTGCCAACCTATGCATTTGAAAGATCACTCAGTATGGCCGACAGCGCATTACAAACAAGCGTCTTTAAGGATTAAAATTTTGAAAGTAAGAAAATGTAAGCGAAATCAAAGTTGTATACGTGCTTCTATAATTTTTGATCAGTGTAAATTATTGAAATGTGAAAATTACGAGGGGCGTTCAATAAGTAAGTATCCCCCCCTCTCTAAAATCCATAAGAATGGACCAATTTTATAAAACTTGGGCTCAAAATCTTCCTTAGGATATTTTGAGTTCAACAAAACAAACCGCAACAAAATCGGACTATGTGCAGCCGAACGCGAGCCGTTATTTGAACTCGCCGAGGTGCTCGACGCTCCCGCCGAATCTGCGAGGATTTGAAGTCCGCTACAGGAGAAGAGCTTCTCTGCCAAAGCCTCAGTCGTTCATCACTGACGAAAAATCAAAGAAATTTTTGTAGAATAAGGGGCTTCCCTCACTTCTCCACATAACCAGCTCGATCCAAGAAAGTCTGATACTGAGACTAAGACTAAGAGAACAGCTTTTGGATGCCTCGTGCGTGGAAGTCTTTCAGCTGACCGCGGATGAAAGAGTGGACGGCTAAATTGACCTCTTCCACTGATTCCAAATTAACTCCTCCAAGTTCAGATTTCAGGAACGGGAATAAATGGTGGTCTGGTTTGCCATTTATCATCGTATCTGAAATCTGAACTCGGAGGAGTCAATTTGGAATCAGTGGAAGAGGTCAATTTAGCCGTCCACTCTTTCATCCGCGGTCAGCTGAAAGACTTCCACGCACGAGGCATCCAAAAGCTGTTCTCTTAGTCTTAGTCTCAGTATCAGACTTTCTTGGATCGAGCTGGTTATGTGGAGAAGTGAGGGAAGCCCCTTATTCTACAAAAATTTCTTTGATTTTTCGTCAGTGATGAACGACTGAGGCTTTGGCAGAGAAGCTCTTCTCCTGTAGCGGACTTCAAATCCTCGCAGATTCGGCGGGAGCGTCGAGCACCTCGGCGCGTTCAAACGGCTCGCGTTCGGCCGCACATAGTCCGATTTTGTTGCGGTTTGTTTTGTTGAACTCAAAATATCCTAAGGAAGATTTTGAGCCCAAGTTTTTTAAAATTGGTCCATTCTTATGGATTTTAGAGAGGGGGGATACTTACTTATTGAACGCCCCTCGTAGTACCACTGGATAGTTCGAGTTCATAGGTTGGCTCCTCTTTTGGGCCCCAAGAGTTACTTGACCTGATCAACACTAACCTCCAAATTTTCTATTTGTCCATACTCTCCCTCTAAAGGTACTCTACATCCCATAAGAAAACTGGGATCAAGTTTTAGTTTTTATTATTAAACTTTCGAAGCTCTTGTTTGTTTTGAAGAATTTCAGACATATGCTGCTTCAACAGTTATGAGCCTTACAATGTAATAAATCTACTGTTATTTATTTAAATAATCACTGATTTCGGAGTCAGATTTAAGCAGCATAACGTGATTGATTTTTTCAGAAATAACGCTCGACAGCGCCGAGGATTAACCTTATTATGGAGCCGCGAACCACGTGTTTTTTCATCCACATTTCCAGAGCACACCTCCTCTTTTCCACTGGAAAGTAGGTGAAATACGTCCAATTAGGGCAGTATCCTAATTTTACACGGGGAAAAAAACTTCGTGCATGGACCCCGAAGTTTAGGTCATGTGGATCTCTGAAGTTTTCTGATCACGCATCCGAAAACTTGAAGTCGAGCTGCCGAAGTTCAGATCAGACCTCGAGGCTTTTCGGTATGTACCGGAGTACTTCAGATGTGTGACCCGAACCCTTCGGTATATATCGAAGTTCTTCAGATGTCTGACCCGAACTTCGGTAGCTGGACCTCAAGTTTTTAGATACGTGATCCGAAAACTTCAGAGATCCATATGACCTCAACTTCGGGTCCTACGCACGAAGTTTTTTTCTCCGTGTAGGGGATACATCCTCACACATTTATTTCTATGATGTATTCGGCGAAGTTTTAATATTGATGAACTCACACTCTGGAGGCGGGTGAGACCAGGTCCCAGCCTCGGTGCAGACGATCATGGTCTCGCCAAAGAGCCGATGTCCCGGTTGACAAGAGAATTGCAAGATGGCGCCAACTCCGTAGCGACCTGGCGTTGCATCTTCCACGATGAGCCCGTTCTTAGGCGGCACAGGGGTCGGACACGATATCACTGGAACGAAGAACAGCGCATTAGATCATCGGATTTATAGTTGCCAGATTGTGCTGAAAAATCTGTACTTATTCGTATTTAAACCCATTTCAACCCATTTATCGATACTCATAATAGACCACTAGACAAGGTGCGATTCAAGCAATCTGATACATGTTTCTTAACCAGAATTTCACGTAGATTACGATTCGCGCAACGAAAATTACAAAAACCAACTCCTAACGAAGATTTTAACGTTTTTATTTCGCGGATTGAACACAGGGGAGAATTTCATGAGCGCCGCCGCTCGTGGCGCACCATGGTCCAAAACTAAACAAGTTGGATTTTGCAATCGCTAGCGATAGCAATATTCTTCATGGGAACGTTAGCTTCTGGGATATGAAAATGTTAAGGTACAGTTCGTTTGTAGTATCTTCTGAATTGAAGGGGCTATGTAATTTTGTGTTGACATCTCTTTTTTAACATTTTTAATTATTTTCTTTGCATACAAGAAAGCTGTTATGTACCAATTATTTATTTTCGTTGGATTATATATGGTTTTCGGAAGTTAACGCATTTAAGTTTCAGGTTCGCTTTTTCGGCGTAAAGTATACATAAGGTGTCCCAAAAGCACCGGGACTTCTTCTGTAACTTCGAAAGTAAGATAGATACGATACAGACATGATCTTGATTTCATTTTGAAGATCAACTCAATACCTATCGATTAAAACCAAGATCAGCTCAATCGGATAAAAATTGACCGAGTTATGACAATTTGAAATCAGCGAGGAAAGTTTACGCCTACGGTTTTTAAGGAAGATTCTTCATCGCCGTAAATCAAAAGTCGGCCGATAAAGTGATGCTTATTGTGTTTTTTTATTTTCGAGGTGTCATTTATCAACATTTTGTACCATCAAACACAACAGTTGACAGTGCGTATTATTGCAAAGTACTAAAGGACTTGAGAATGCACATTTCCCGGAAACGGTCGGACTTGTCGGCTTCGTGGATACTCCATCAAGACAATGCGCGGCCTCACACATCGAGCTTAACACGTGAATTTATGAGTAAAAATGGAGTTGAAACAATCCCTCATCCCCCTAATAGCGCTGACTTGGCTCCATGTGATTTTTGGATGTTTCCCACGCTTAAAAAGGAGCTTCGCGGACGAAGATTCGTATCGAAGACCGAAATCCAGAATGCATTTCAAAACTTCTTCAACTCCATCCCAGAGGAAGAATTCAGGAAAACAATGTTGGATAAGTGGCAAGAGCGCATGAAAAAGTGCATCCGGTTTGATGGACGGTACTTTGAATAGCAAAAGGAAATTATGGAAGATTCGAAGGAAAGTGGATACGAATATTAACTTTTGGAATCCTGGTAAGCGAAAAATCTTCCTAAAAACCGTAGGGGTAAACTTTCCTCACTAATTTCAAATTGTCATAACTCGGTCAATTTTTATTCGATTGAGCTGATCTTGGTTTTAATCGATAGGTATTGAGTTGATCTTTAAAATGAGACCAAAATCATGTCTGTATCTATCTTACTTTTGAAGTTACAGAACCATTCCCGGTACTTTTGGGACACCCTACGTATGATATTTTTACTCTACACATATGCCCGAATACGCATCATAAGGGACCTATGTGTTTCCTAAGTTGCCAAGTATTAATTATTGTTAGATGATTGGTCTAAAACATTCAATACAACCAGTAAAAATTAACTGTCCCCTACGAGATTCGAACCCCCGCTCGTATAAAATGGAACGCCGACGAAGCGATAGAGTGGTGTCGAAGACGACTGAGCTATCTCGACACCCGTCGCAAATGGGAGAAAAAAGAACAATTAAGGGATCTTGGACGCTGAGCGGGGCTTCACAAAAGGCGTCCTTGAAGTTTCGGCGCGTTTCGGCCCTTGCGGTGATATGAGACAACGGATTAATCGCATTTCTCTGTGAGACATTGTTTGCCTATGCTTTCATGTGTCACAAAGTTCATCTCAGCATGCATTTACTATCGCGGCAGTAAACTGAGGCGATATTTGTTTATCCATGAATTAAATCAATCAATCGAGCTCTGATTTTGACTTCTTTGTCCGTAACGAGTCCTCCAGAACAATTTTCCACCTTGTACGATAGTTATTATTTCTTTACTTCTATTTTTCAAATTTGAGGTGGGATAATGGCGGCTTCTCAAGAGCAACGAGGTAGGCGATCTTTTGCACCAACGAACAGAAAACTGATGGCGAAAAATAACCAATCGGAACCTCCCAAAAAAAAGAATTTGCCCAAAATCGGAACTTCGAGGTTCTGCGCAGATTTACCAGTCAGACACGACATCTCAAGGTGGAAAAAAACTCGCTGAAAGCGAATTTTAGAAATCAACACAACTTGGAATGGCTAAAAAATACAACGGTCTTTGATCTATCGGAAAATCAACCAAAAATCGAAGACTGGGCGAAACGCTCAAGGTCGCAGAGGCATAGGGAATCACATAGCAATAGCAACGGAACGATTGTAAAGACAGGGAACTCCGTTCCCATGCCAAAAATAGGAAGAAATAAGTCGGATTATGACTGAAAGATCACGAGAGTTTCGTAACTGATACGTCTTGAGTCGCTAATTTCGAATTTGATGTCAAATTGCCTACATTTTAACACCCTGACCTATTAATTGTGGGCAAGTTTACGGCACGCTGCGGCGCGGTGTGTTGCCAGCTCGAAACGCGCACTGGCGCCTACAAACCTAAGGGGATACTTCAAGCATTGCGTAATGCGTGAAGTAGCCCTTTAGGTTCGTAGGTGTCAGTGCGCGTTCCGCGCTGGCAGCACGCCGCGGCTCTCCCGGCGGGCGGGTGGGGAACGATTTCTTGCGGGGAGAAACTCTTGAATCGTGTAAATGGTTTTTTTCTTCTTTTTTTTAGTTTTTTTTTTTAAAGGTTCGACTTCTAAAATAACATACTGGTCGTGTTAAGTAATTAGTGAACTCGCAACGCTAGATGAAAAGTAGTAATGAAAGGCGGGTCGTGCGCCATGCGGGCTGCGGAATGCAAAGGAAGGGGGGTTCATAAAATTCTCCCCTTTGCTCTGTTGTTTATTTCACACTAGATACGAGGAATTTGAACTGCCCGCTCACAAGAAACTCAAAGCTCTACGTGAGTCAAATCACGCACCACTACGGTTTCAGCAAGCTTCTAAATCGAGCAATTTTCAATTCCCACAATGTGATGTTCAAACTATGAGCATTTTGCTTCAGCTGAGTCAAAGCGTCAAGATTGAGATTGCCAGATTTTTATATTGCAGAGACTATCATGATAACGTTTAGCGCGCGATGTGAATCACGTGGAGCATTGAGTTTTCATGAGCGGGTGGTTTGAATTCACGCATCAAGAATCATTAAATATCTTCGTAAGGAGTTAAATGCGGTAATTTTTGTTGTGCGCGTCGTGTTCTAAGTGATTTTTTCGTTACGAACATGTATCAGAATACTGAAATTCGTACCTTGTCTAGTGGTCCATTTAGAAACAATACTGTGATGTTGTGTATGAATTCGAGCGGTCATAATATCCGTTCGATTTGTTCAAAATCATCTAATAATTGCGCTCCAATATATATAATGGAAATTTCCTCTTTTGGCCCCACTTTTTGATGCACTAACAATCGTCGAAAAATACAAGGTAATGGAGTTTGGTTGACAAGAAGTTCGTAAATCTACCAGAATATGTCACCTCAAATACACTCAGTTTTGGCTTTCTCTTTTTCCCTTTTATTATGATTAAAGGACTAAGATATTTTCGCGTATTTTTTCTGAATTAATCCTTATTTATTTAAATTTATGAGTATATTCTAGTGTTTCAGAATTTTTTCCCGGTAATTTTCAATTATTTAAATAATCCATAGACAATTTGCCTGCAACATATGCGTCTTTAAAGCAGAAATACTTACGTTTGCATGTGGGTTTCGAGCTTGACCATTGGCCGGACACCTCACACTCGAGTCCTGGCTGTCCGGTAAGGAGGTATCCTGCGGGACACTTGAAAATGGCGCGACCTCCGTAGCTGTTGTTGTGCTCGACCAGTGTCAACAATGGGTCGTCTGACGTCAGAGCCGGGCAGGTCACGATCGTACATCGAGGCACCGAGTCCGTCCATGCGCCTGCACAGAAGCAATGCATTTCTTGAGCGATAACTATTTTAACTCTCAGAAGGTGAAATTGCATACGCGACGGTTTGAAGGCACTTTTGATTTTTGTCGTTTGCAGTGCGGCTGTTAGTCCAGTAAACGAAGCATTTTGATGGCAAAATATTAACATACGGCTACATTTAGGCCCGATTCTTCCTATGAAAAGGTGTATTTAGCCAAAAGTCCCCATAAATCCCCTCGGAGGATTCCGCACAGTGGTCCGATGAAGTTGAAAATTGGACATATTTTCAAAAATTCACTGCGGAGCGAGAAGCAATTAATTGGAATGAATTATGATAAATTCCATGTTTGAATGCACGCTACCAAAGGAGCTGAACACGAGGATAATCTTGGTTCATAAATTGAACAATTATTAGAGGAGATATGACAAAATGATCTCATCTGCTAAAATACATGCCGCTGGATGATGTCACTAGGCGGCGCGTTTTCTCATTTTTGAATCTATTTTATACTATTTCCCTTAACCAAAAAAAGTTATAAAAAACACTGCAAAATCAGCCCTATACGCACTTTCAGATGAAGCAATAAAACATCGTGCAAATTCTCCATTGCGGGAAACCGCTCCTGACTAGGAATGAACATTCCTGACAAAATGATGTAACTATCGCGATGGACTTTGCCGTCCATATGACTCCACGCTCTCCCTGGCTCCTATCTAAATTTAGTTACGGCTATTTGTGTGGCAAGCGACGATTTGTTCCAAGTCACGTCACCCCCAGTTCCATTCTCCGGTGTCCAAAGGTATCCGGAACATGGGATGTCCGTGAAAGGAAAGGAGAGATCGCTGGCTGAGCAATTAAACAATAAAAGCAATTAAACGGCCGCCGGAGTACACATGCTGCGAGGACTGAGACACCCCCTAAACTGCCGTGCTAAGGAAAAACGACGCAAGAGTCTTCAGGCGTTGCTAAATTTCCTCTGGCAAATTATTGATTTTCAGGAAAATTTTTGAATATTTTCCCGCCCATTTATCAGATAATTTTGTTCGTAATTTGATCTACTCGTAAAGTGTGTTTTTCCTTGGCTCGACAGAGTATACAATAGCAACCATCACTGAGTGGATGGTATGACTGCACGTGATTAAAAGTGAGACAAGAAGTTGCTGCGCTGTGAAAGTCGTTGCTGTTAATGTTGCATACACGCGTATTTGAAGGCGACTTATCCAGCGGCATATTCCCTGATGTCGAGAGATTCATCCCTTTCATCTCAATGAAAGTATTGGTCACAATATAGGTACACTGCGGTGCTAAGGAAAAACGCCGTATGAACCTTTAGGCGTTGCCAAATTTTCTCTGGCAAATCAATAATTTTCAGGAATATTTTTGAATATCTTTCTGCCAATTTCTCTGATAATTTTTTTTTCTGTAATTTGGTCTAAAATGTCTGAAAATTTCAAGGAAAAATATTAAAAATTTTCCTCAAAAATAAACATTTTATCCATAGAAATTTGGCAGCCTTCGAATGCTCATACGGCGTTCTTCCTCAGCACGGCAGTAAAGTACAGCGCATTCTTGCGGTGGCCAAAACCCGCGCCGCGATCCCTCCGCTGATCTAACTTTCTACTGGGTTGAGGGGGAACGACGTATCAGTTTAGCAAGTAGCCGAATATCCATTATTTGAATATCCAATGGACCACCAGACGAGGCCTGAAACCAACTATTGCAATGTCTACTGTGCGGAAAAAGTACGGATACATCAAAAAGCACGGATTTCGGAAGGTCTGTACGGAGGTACGGAAAAGGTACGGAAATTCCAGCTTTTCGTGATTAAACTCTGAAGGTGATTCGACGGACGCCATTTTTTGTGTCAGAGCGACGTGCGATATATTGCATCGATTCGTTCCATAATTTCAGCTATCATTTTTTTCGAATTTTGAGATCGCACTTCTGTTGTCATGAGACTGAAGAATTCATGCACCAAATTTGGAAAAGACATTCAATGTAATGAAGGCGTGGTTTTTTTAAAGGAAAAATATCGCATTTGAGTGCAGTTTCGATTTTGCGATATTTTTCCTCCAAAAAAACCACGCCTTCATTACGTTGAATTTCTTTGTCAATTTTGGTACATGAATTTTTTAGACTCATGACAACAGAAATGCGATCCCAAAATTCGAAAACAATTACGAATTACAAGATACGAATATTTTCTGGTTTACCTGTAAAATTGCAGGCAAAATAACATTTAGCGCACCCTGAATTCTCTCTCCTTTCCCTCTAAATTTTCGGGAGAGGCGTGTTGAATGACGTTACGGTAGTGGCGCGATCTGGCAACACCTTAGGCATTATTCGGCGGGTGCCGTTGGCCGTTGATAAATTTGTTCGGAACTGTTTTAATCGTGCCCCGCGATGCTGCATAAAACGGATACGCGATTTCGGTTGGGAGGGTGTCGTGAGTTTGCTGCTCACATTATCGTACCTCCATTATCGTGAGTGGAGGGAACAACCCAAGAAAAATTGCGATATTGATTCGGTCGAAACTTTGGTAATTGCTCCGACGGAGGGCTGGGCCGCCGTTGGGAATATGCTCCGTTTGTAATGTGGTGGGAGGGGGGGGGGGGGGGGTCGTCAAAGACAGTTTAGCTGCTCCACTTTTGGGGGAGAGGAATTAAGTTTAATGCGCGTATCTTAACTCTAACAGGGTGTTTCCTGTAGGGAAAAAGTACGGATACACTGAGGAAACACGTGTTTCGGAGGGTCTGCACGGGAGCACGGAAAAGGTACGGCAAAACTCGAGCTTTTCGTGATGAACTATCAAAATCCCTGGAGATACATTGTTTTTTTTTTGGGGGGGGGGCATTACCCTATCTCATGTTTTTTTTCAGTTGAATTATTCGGGATATATTTGTGTATTATTTTTAATCTATCGATTATAGATGCTTTCTCAGCGGTGCCACAGAAGAACGATTGATTACCTTGAACAGTTTAGCAACACTGGAGAAAAAAACACATTGTATCTAGAGTTCAGACTCTTAAAAACATCGACAAGAAAAAGTACTCTTGATTCAATCAGAATCTAGATTAAATCAAGAACCAAGACTCTTAATTTAGGCGAATTTCGTTTTGATTCAAGCAAAAATCCGATTGAATGAAGAGTATTTTTTCTTGTCAATGTTTTTAAGAGTCTGGACTCCAGATCCATTGTGTTTGTTTTTTTTTCCAGTGTACGGCAAAACTCGAGCTTTTCATGATAAACTATCAAAATCCCTAGATGTTCATTGTTTTTTTTTTTTGGGGGTGGGGGGGGGGGGGGGGGGGGGGGGGAGGGGGTTTACCCTATCTCATGTGTTTTTCAGTTGAATTATTCGGGATATTTGTGTGTATTATTGTTAATCTATCGATTATAGGTGCTTTCTCAGCGGTGCTATAGAAGAACGATTACCTTAAACAGCTTAGCAACACTGGAGAAAAAAAATACATTGTATCTAGCGTTCAGACTCTTAAAAACATCGACAAGAAAAAGTACTCTTGATTCAATCAGAATCTAGCTTAAATCAAAACCCAAGCCTCTTACTTTAAGTTAATTTCGTTTTGATTCAAGCAAAAATCCGATTGAATCAAGAGTATTTTTTCTTGTCAATGTTTTCAAGAGTCTGGACTCTAGATCCAATGTGTTTTTTGTTCCAGTGAATCTTCAGAAAATCGTGATTCTGAGGACTTTCATAGAGGATAACTTGGCAACGGTGGAATTCCAGATCACTCAATTTTTAGTCTATCCAGTCACCTGTATCTCTAGTGTGTAACAGATTCATTCCTTGGTCCCAATAATATTACCTACGAGCGGTTTCATTCCGAGAATTTGGCATCCTATGAAGATGTGATGAGCCCCCGTTACGATGAAATGTACGTGCTTAACGATGCGTTAACGGAGGAACTTACGTCGGGGGTTTTATTGCTGTGAATAAACCCAAATGAATAGAATGTAATCCCTACCTCTAATTCAATGTGCGATCACGAGTATTCCTGCGATGTATCCATTCTTGAACTCTTCAGCTACATTCTCCGCAACGTCTCTTTTATGTGAGAGGAAATACCTTGCGATGATGCGCAGAGTGGAGGCATGGATATCGACAAAATATGTTTTCAGAGAGAATTTCGAGTATTGAACCCAGATCGATTTATAGATTAGAAGGAGCGAGGTGAATAAGCCTGTTGCGAATGTCAGCTAGAGTAAAAAAAAAGAGTTATCTCCTTTGTTAAGGTGATTCGACGAACGCCATTTTTTGTGTCAGAGGGACGTGCGATCTATCGCATCGATTTGTTCCATAATGTCAGCTACTTGTCATTTTTTTCGAATTTTGGATTCGCACTTCTGTTGTCATGGGTCTAAAGAATCCATGTACCAAATTTGACAAAGAAATAAAGCGTGGTTTTTTTAGAGGAAAAATATCGCACTCGATACTGATATCGAAACTCCACTTGAAGGCGATATTTTTCCTCCAAAAAAACCACGCCTTCATTACGTTGAATTTCTTTGTTAAATTTGGTACATGAATTTTTTAGACTCATGACAACAGAATTGCGATTCCAAAATTCGAAAACAATTACAAGTAGCTGAAATTATGGAACAAATCGATGCGATGGATCGCACGTCTCTCTGACACCAAAAACGGCGTCCGTCGAAACACCTTGAATGGCTCCAAAATCATGATGAGCACATCGGGAAAGACTAAAATGTACTCATAACTTTTAAATTGGCGTTTAAAACGTGCGTTTTCGAAGCTTCCCGCTTCATAAACTATCCTAAGGCACAGGTGAACATTTCGTAAGATGAGTCGTTCCATCCAACCCCTGCGCACTAGGATGCCACGTGCTATTCAATTGGCAATTTGGCAACGTCTGAAGGTTCATACGGCGTTTCTCCTTAGCACGGCAGTGCTGTCTACGATAACCAAGTCCGGGAATTTCAGGGAAAGTCGAGTTTGATTACCTGACAATTTTTTTACAATTTTTTTC